CCGGCCGGTTAGCTCAGTTGGTTAGAGCGTGGTGCTAATAACGCCAAGGTCGCGGGTTCGATCCCCGTACGGGCCATTTATTTTTCGGGGGCTACTGCTGCGGGTGTTTTCCGCACTCCTTGGGCCGATCAGCTAAAGAAGGACAGAATCCCGTCGCCTGGGGGGTGCTCCCACTTAGCCGTGATTGTCTACAGAGCCGGGTAAAAGCAGCCGCCGGGCTCCCGGTTTGATGAGCCAGGCTGTTCCTTGGGCCGGGCGGTGTCCAGCTGAAGGAAAGGCGTTGTCCAGGGCTCAGCTGTCACAGGCGGCCTTTGTAGGAGGGCACAGCCCGACTTCCTGTCGGAAACAGGAGACGGGCCGAGACTCCAGTCCGCGATAGAGGGGACAGCAGCTGCGTACAGGGGGGGCTCGTCAGTCTCTGCGGGGAAAATTATGAAAACGATGAAACCTGCCCAGCTTATCCTGCCACCCACACAGACACGAGCCACTCGGGCCACACTGGGCTACTGCAGGCACGGGAAGAGCGGGAAGAAGCCCGGGCAGGGGACAGCGACAGCTGCCCCCAAAATAAACCTTCGGGAAGGCCGGGAACAGCCCAGGCACCGCTGGGATTCGAACCCAGGATATCCTGTTTACTAGACAGGCGCTTTAACCAACTAAGCCACGGCGCCGGGCGGGCTGCGGGCAGCCCCGCCTCGTCCTGCCCTAAAGGGCGGGGGCGCTCCCGGGGGCATCCCCTCTCTGCTGGAGGGTGCCCGCTCCGAGCTGCGGTTCTCGGGGACTGGCTCCGAATTCCCTCGTTTTATTTCTTACTTGTAAAATTTTTATCGTGTCAAAAAAAAAAAAAATTAAAGGCAATCAGCGAGCAGATTTGGGACACCGCAGGGAGAAGGAACATTCAGAAACAGCAAAACGACGTCCGCGGAGTCAGCAGGACTCACACCCACGCAGGAAGATCCTAATGCATTATCTAATAACCGTCGCTTTAACCACTCGGCCACGACTACCGAATGCGCACCTATATCTGTTTTCCGCCTTTCCCCGCCCAAACCGCGGCTCCGCCCCGTCACCTTTTCCAGCGTTTTCCCCTGGCGTGTTCCCGACTCGGCGCCTCCCCCACCGAGAGCCGTCGGGATTTGCGCGCGGGTCCCCGAGCGGCCGCACGGGCCCGCGAGCAGGGACGGGCCGAGGCAGCTGATAGGCTGTGAATCGCCCCCGTGGAAGGCACCGTACGGCAGGCCGGTTAGCTCAGTTGGTTAGAGCGTGGTGCTAATAACGCCAAGGTCGCGGGTTCGATCCCCGTACGGGCCAGTGCCTTTTTCTCGGTAGTGCGTTTTTGTTTTTTCTTGGAGGTGGTTTTTTTGTGTTTATTTTTTCTTGCCGTTTTAGCATTATCGGTCTCAAATCACTCCCGCCTAGGGACGTACTCATTCTGCGGGGGCAGGAGGACCAAAGTCACCTCGCCCCGTCACGGCTAAGGCGCTCGCAGACAGCGACGGCAGCAGGGAGAAAAAGAAACAAACAAAAAAAAAAAAAAAAAAAAAAAAAAAGAAAAACGCTTTTGCCGTGACTCGGATTCGAACCGAGGTTGCTGCGGCCACAACGCAGAGTACTGACCACTATACGATCACGGCCGCCCAACGCCCGGCGCCACCGCCGTGGACGTCATCCCTCTTCTCCGCCGCAGTCCTCCAGTCACGTTCCCTGCGGTAAGGGAGTTGGTGGCAATCTCATGGGGGAAAAATGAATCGGCGATGGCGCAGCAAAATGACAAAGCTGCCTCCCCGTCGGGGAATCGAACCCCGGTCTCCCGCGTGACAGGCGGGGATACTCACCACTATACTAACGAGGAATGCGCTGAGCACCCATTGGCCTGTCTGTGCCCGGAAGGCGCGAAGCGCCTGAGGGAAATGGCGACAGCTCAGGCCCCCTCAGGGAGCCGTCCGTGCTGCCATGCCCGAGCGGGCACAAATGGAGACCCCGCCAAGGCTTTCTAATTACTTGCGGCCCGCAAGCTCCTGCGTTTGCCTCGCTCTGAGCTTCAACACGAGGTTTACGGTGAGTCCAGGCGCACGGAACGGATTTGAAGGGTGGCGGACATGGAATCCCACCCCTTGGCCCCGCAATGCATCAAGCTGCTGTCTGCCAGCTGTCCATTAATGAGAGGTGTGGTTTGAACTTTCAGATGGTCGCCCAAGGGTAGCTGGGTTTTGCTTGTTAAAAAGGCAGCAAAGTTGGCACTGTGTAATCGGTTTCACTAACAAAAAGGCGGGGCGGGGGCAGGAAATAACAATTTACAATACCATTTTCTGTAGCGTTACACAGTCTGGGGGGATCAGGAACCCCCAGAAAGCTGTCGTCAGGAGCTGGCGTTTTTAAGGCACTGGTTTATAACCAGTTTCTACCGCATACATGCATCGTTTTGCTCCACCTGCCCCCGAAAGTGTCAGGATAAACCAAACACTGTGTTTTAGTTTTAGAAAGTAGGCATTGCTTTATTCACAGCACCAGCGTGCATGGGTACAGCTCTGCCTAGATGCAGGGCCACTTTCAAAACTTTACACTTATTTATACACTTTTCTCAAACTAAGAAATTAATGTCCTTTGGTTATAAACCTTATAATTATTTTCACTAAACAGTATTCTATATCCTGCTGGTTATTGATTTGTCATGATGTACATTGTCAGTCTTTTTACTATCTATTTCCCCGATAAGGTGTTTCCAGCACAAATGCTGAATTGTCTTTGTTAGTTTCTTCTTTAACTTCTGGTTTCTGTAACATGTCCTAGGAGGCTATAAATTCTGTATCCCATGTGTCCAGTTATCGGCAATACATCTCTCCCCTAGGCTTTGTTCACTGAAGCTCATCAGGGTTAGTTTAGAAAAACTTTAAAAGTTCCAGTGATTTTCTCATTCTATTCTAATAATAGCAGTCTGTTAAAAAAATCTTTGCTGCTTGCTGGTTAAGGTGGAAAACCACACTGTTTATGAGTAGTGCACTGCTTATGATTGATTAAAAACAATTAATTAAAAAGCTAATTTAAACCATTATTGGGTAGAAGAGTACTTGGCTAAAATGAAGTTCAAAAATTAGTTTTATGAACATGATAGCTTACTTGCAATGTACCATAATTAAGAGTGGGAAAATAAATGTGCATCTTATCCTTTACTTCCTCATTCCTGGACTAGATCTGCTTATGTGATATTGCAAATTTAGGTTATATTGTTTTCTTGGAACAGTTGTTTTTCCTGGGAAAGATGTTGAAATTATTAAATTTGACTCATTGGAGAAGGGAAAAGGAAACACATTTCAAACATTTAATTCTAAGTATTGCGTTTAGACAAACATCTGTCATCAAAGATTCACCATCTTTCACCTGTCCATTCCTGATGCAACAGTTGACAAAGCAATTACTTATTTCTTACTCCAGAAAGAAAAAAAAAATTTAAATCTCTCCCTAGGCACCCTTCTTGTCCTGAAAGACTGGGAAACGTATTTGGAAATGTATTTTGATCTCTACTGACACAGTAGCTGTATATTATAGGAGAAAAACAAAGTGTGCTTCTTCCATTTTAAAAACAGTGAAATAGTTATTTCATAATTTTCTTAGAAAATGATATTTTAAAGGACTGAGTGATCAATAAATTAGGGATAACCTAGAAAAAAAGAATCAGGGTTGGTAATAATATCAGTTGAGCTGCAATCCCTTCTCATGCAGAAAGACATGATGTTTCATTGCAGTTGCATTGTATCTTCTGGCTCCTGGCACAAAAATTCGCTGTTCTTTCTTTACTGAGCAATCTCCTGCTCTGGAAAAAGTCTTATCTCAGTGGCTCTGAAGTTATTTTACGGTGAGATGAGGTCTCACAACAGCAGAAACACAAAGTGACTTTAAAACATCTCTCTTCTCTGACTGTCTTTGTCATGATGCTTCTTGAGCTTGAAATTCTAACAAAATCCATTAGAAGTGTTTTTGAGAAAGCATGAGACAGAGTTTAAAATCCATATTCTGCTTACAACAGGCATTCTTGATCTAATCTCTGGAGTTATTCTGTTGCTTCAGTCCTGTTTCCTAAATTTTTTTATCAACTTTCTAAGAACTGTTGTCTCTGATGGAGAAAAACCTACAGTCTTGGGGTCCCAGAGTGTTAGTGATTGAATACTGCTGTTTAAGGAATGTTGTTGAATTTAGACCACATCAGGGTTGATTTTTAAGGTATGTAACTTTTTGCAGATTCTTCCAGTTCTGCAGCTAATCTGATAATTATATTTTGTGGACTGCCCACTTTTTTTAAGGCCCAGTGTGTCACTGGTAAATGATGCCTTTTCAGTTTAGAAGACTTTATTCTAAAAAGTTCCCTTATAGTGGGGCTTTCTGCTTCTTTCTTCTTTATTGTACATATGGGTTTTTCTGCCCTTTTTCCAATCAGATATCTCCTATCCTTTTCCTTCCTTACTCCGTATTTTCTTACACATGATTTGTGTCTGTCTCCTCACACCATTCCATGCTTTAGTGGCAGCTTTGGGATCTTTTTCTGTGGTGTGCGGCAGTGTCTGTGTTAAATGTTACCCGGGTTTGAGGAAGCTGTTGGATTGTCATGATACATTTATATATGCTTCTCTATGCAGATATTACCTTCATTTTGGCTTTCTGGTATGTTTTTAATTGATATATTATATGTTGGTGGAGTTAGTGGCAAATGAAACAACAAAGAAGAGGAGCTCATACTGACGGCTTGTGAAACGGGAGGGCTGGGAATTTGATGATGTCCTCTTCCTCTACAACTTTTTCACTGACTCAGAGATACTTAATTCTGAAATATTTCCTGGATTTTTCTAATGAATGCCTTGATTTCACAAGTGATCCAAATGCCCCATCACTGGGGAAGGGTTCCCGTTCCTGTGTCCCGGCACTGGGAGCGGCAGCGGCGCCAGGGGCGGGCAGGGTCCCGCTGTTGGCTCTTGGGGGTCGCCGTGGGGAGGAAAGTTCTCACTTTGCTCCTCGCTAGTACAGTGGCGAATTTCTTCGCCTGACACGCGGAAATCACAGTTCGATTCCTCGACGGGGAGGTGGCCATGGCCTTTCCTTTTATCGCCGGGGAGCGTTCCTGCTTCATCCTCTTCCCATCGTACCCCGTCGGCGGCATGCGGACGAAGGGAGAGAGGGGAGGGTCGGGAATGTTTCCTGCGGAGCGTGCCCGTTCGTTTCGGGGGTGCTGCTGCCCCGCGGGTGGTGCGTCCGTGTGTGGGCTCAGCCTTGCCGGGCCGCTCCGTGCCGCCCGTAATCGCCGGCCGCGCACCGCAGGAGGGACCAGGCAGAGAGAAACAAAAGGTTTGAAAGTCTCTATTTTTTAGGAGTGCTAGTCACGCCGCTTAGTGCTCTTGCTGCTCTACCATGGCTCCATGAAACAACTCGCCGAGGCGGTGGGCAGTGTCCGGGAAGAGCGATCTCGTAATGCTGCGGAGCGGCGCTCCGTAGCGGCTGCACCCGCGGCACGTCGCTGATGGAGCCTCGTGTGCTTTAACCATGCGAAAGAAATGAAAGGGGGCCGGTTAGCTCAGTTGGTTAGAGCGTGGTGCTAATAACGCCAAGGTCGCGGGTTCGATCCCCGTACGGGCCATTGAGAGTTTTTTTTTCCACCTTCCTTCATGGATACGAGGAGATCGCTGACTTAGCAGAATATCACTTGATTTTGTTTTTGGGGCGGAGGTGTAACATGGAAAGGCACACAGTGTCTCCCAACAGGAACCTTGACGTGGGCAGTCATGGGGGGACAGCGAGTGCGAGCCAGGCCGGCGCCCCTCCCCATCCCGCCCGGCCACCCACGGGGCCGGAGCAAGCAGCGCCCGCATGCAGGAACCCGCGGCAGCTGAGGTGGGAGGACCTGACGACCCGGAGACAACCGTTATGTATCCAACTCCTCGTTAGTATAGTGGTTAGTATCCCCGCCTGTCACGCGGGAGACCGGGGTTCGATTCCCCGACGGGGAGAGGGAGTAGTCACATTTTTTCCGTCGAGAAGGGAGAAATGTTATCACTCCCCAGTTACTTTTCCTTACCGGGTCCTCAGCGAAATTCGTGCTGGGAAACAAGACAATCAGTCCAAAGGTGGGAGCATCGTGAAGGCATAGTTGTATGCCTTAGGGCAACACGCAGCAGCGTCCTCATGCACCGTCGACCTCCTGGGCAATGGAGCTGGCCCGAGCAGCATTGTTCTGCTGTCCTGATCGCAGCGCAGCTACTCAGTACTCATTTTCTCCTCAAACAGACAGCCATCCTTCTGTTCTCAGGAGGTAACACTGGGACCTTAACCCACATTCTCCCAGATACTGATCAGCCAACTTATGCTGCTGCAGCACATCTTAAACCATTTCCCCCTCTCTACAGTCAACAAAACATCATCAAAATACATGTGACGAAGTATCACCTTTTCCATAGCTTCTTGAAAACACAGTTTAAGGTTCAATATAATACCAAATATTCCCTTTATTCTTTGAAAAAATGTTTTTAAGCATCCCAGCATTTCATAAGGCTAAACAATGCTATTTACGCACAAATAACGATTTCATTTCCCTGAACACATCACAGTAGTTTGCCATTTTGCAGTCATCTAAAGCATGCAGAGTAGCCCTGTGAGGCCTTCACCAGTCCTTCACAAGGCAACAGCAACAAGGGATGACAACATTAGCCCATCAATCTAAAAGAATGAGTACACACATTTGGAAGTTCTAAGAAGTCTACAGCATCATTAAGGCAGGAGGTAAGAGTACAAAATAGACACACTGAAACACCACACCACAGCAGTTTGAATGGGCTGCTTTGCAGGCATTCCTGTTCTCTCAGAATGGCTCAGTGAAAGCAATCCAACATCTTCATGATCCGTGTCAGTGCACCCAGTCTTTGGGATTTCGCAGAACCTCCAGGATTTCTGCTTCTTTGGAGCTCTCTGGTGGGTTGTGCATGTACTCCCACCTGCACGGAGGGTAGAAACTCAGACAGCCCATTCTCCTGCACCAGGCTGTGTTTGGATTGGAGTTGCCTTTTCTAAGGATGCAAAACTACAGACATACTCTTGGCTTAGGTGAAAGATATGGTTACAAATTACAAGTTCAGTTAAAACAAATAATAACACCACCACGGTAGATGAGAGAGATATTAGTTTCATCTTTCTACAAATTTTTGAAAAAGCTGAAAGGACAGGGAAAAATGAAAGAGCAGTGTCCCATTCCCCACAAGGCATGCAGGTTTTTTTGCAAAAATCTTCTAACAGTCTCTTGTGACACACTAGTACCACAAGGAAGATGAATAAAAAAAGGAACACAAAAAATTTTGACAGTGACATGAGACATTTTTTCCAGAATCTGGACTGGAAGCTCTATGAGTCTTTGAATCTTGGCTTTAAAAAAAAAATGTGGTAAAAGATCCCTTTTTATTATTGAAAAGGCAATCAAAAGAGGCACAACAGAGAAAGTGTCAGCAGTCACAGAGAGATGGGTATATCCTCCTTCCATTTCCCCCCTCAAAGGAATGACCCATTCATGCTGTGACGTGAGCTAGTTACACTGATGAAAAGGAGCAAACCTGGACAATCCCAGAAATTAAGTCAAAACATAGGACATGCTACACCACCAGGTCAGGGACACATCAGCTGTCAGTGGGATGAAGATACATGGTGAGAACAGCACTGCTTTTACAGTTACAGGGCAGCAGGCAGTTTTCCTAGCAGAGGGAAGTCAGTAGTGAACTTCATGGAATTCATGATAGGATCTGCACTACCCAGCATACCCAAAAGCAACCTGAAAGTGGGAATAAATAGCAAATGACTGAATTTGCTGGCGTCACAAGCGTAAGCAAGATGGGTTAAAACCTAAAAGGACAGTTCAAATAGTACTTAGCCAAGCAACTGAGCAATAAAATGGCAGGGGAAAATCACTGTTTATTGATGTGATGGATACAGGAAAAAGGTTATTGCCCAGAAGGTTATCATTAAATGTTATTGCCCAGAAAAGACCTTGGCATCGTAACAGTTCTATGAAAAAGCCAAAACCAGCAAACAGAATATTAGGATTATGAAAGAAATAATGAATTAAAACATTGCTATGCAACGATGAGTCAGCAGCACACCTGCATCTTGTCTGTAGATATGTAGCTTACATTGTCTGTTCCTTATCCCCAGTTTAGAAAGGGCACAAAAAACTTAAGCCTAAAGAAAGTGGCCAAAGTATGAAACAGCAACTGTACAAAAGACTAAAAAGAGCAGGAGTTGTCAGCCTGGAAAACAAACAACGAAAAACCCCTAGAAGCCTATAAAATACAAACTGTCATGGAGAAGATGAACAGGAAGAAAATCATGTTACTCAGTGAAAAGTCAGATGAAGTCATCAGGTTCAAGTAGAAAACAAAGAGGTACTTTCTCATACAACACACAGTTAAACTATGGAGCTGCTTGCCACACATTTGGCAGGACTGCCAGAAGCTCTCATGGTTTCTAAGGGCTCCTAAACAAAAACCCATGGAGTGAGGACAAGAAATCTATCAAGAGAAACTAAGCACAAAAACCATAATTTTTTTTTGCCAGAAAATCTCTGTGCCAAACACTAGTGGCAACTAGATGAGTACAACAGAGAAGCATCTGCATTTGCAGAACAGAGAACTGTATTTGTCCAGTTCTTGTATTGGGCACTGATAAGAGACTGGAGACCAGGAGAGACTTTTGATTCAATCCTATGAAGTATTTTACAAAGAACAGTTCCTACTGCCACCCCACATAACTACACCCTTACCTTGCAGTCAGTGGTAGAGACATAAGAATGCTTTCGATTCTTGATCCTGGTGTCAGGAGGCCAAACTTTGTACCTCTGTCATAAATCAAGTTGAACTCTACATACCTATGGGAATGAAGAGATGCAACAAAAAAAAAAAACCCAAGTTTATTAGCAGAAATTGGTTGTGTTTTCTTCAACTGGTAGACCTCAAACAAAACCAATTTGTCTTTCTGCTGAGTTGGGGGTCAACTGTTCTTTAGCGTCCTCTGCATAGGAATGCAGGTGTGACTTTGCCATTCCACAGAGCACAGGGAGAAGTGACCTCAGCTAAGAGACTAGAGCAGACCAGCTGTTCAAAGGAGAGCAGTCTGCAGGCTCCTGTGCTGTGCTGTACTGTACTGTATTCCTCTCACACCTCAGCCCTGCTGGCAAGCTCAACCACGTTTAACTTGGTTCTTCTATTCTTTGTGGGGGTGTCAGACATAAAGAGGGGCTTAAAGGTACTGAAAATACCCAGAGAAAAAATTTTACTGTGTGGTCATCCATGCTGAAGCACACATAAGCAGCAAGGTCAGAATACTATTTCCTGGTTCTTGGGAAGATCTGGAAAGCAGCAGAAGTCAGATAGGTTCAGAGTGCTGGCTGGGACTTGTAAGTGATGAAATAAGACCATTTTCTGCTCCCAGCATAGGAACAGAGCTGTGACAATTCATCAGGGATTATCTCAATATCCAGTACAGAGTGTTTGTATTTAAAAATCCAGGAAGGGAAAAGTTCTTCTCTATCTCCAGAAATGGAAAGCTTTATATAGCCCCATAACAGACCCAGGGAAATAGACAGGCCTCAAGAGCTGGTCCTGGCTGCAACTTAGAAAAGCTACTCTGCTTTTTAAACTTTGCAGGTTTGCTAAATTCCATACACAGACTGGATCCTGAAAGCCCAACATTCCCAAGAACAGTCCCCACTAAATTAAGGATGCTTGTTTAAGCTGCAGGCCAATGATGTGAACTTGAATGCTTACACTCTTTCCATGCCAGTCTCACATTTCTCTGCAGAACAGGCAGACACTAAAGACTTTAGTTAAGCACAATGCATGTGTAATTTCATTTCTCCATACACTCACAAGACATGGAGAACAGAGTACAACTGTATTGACCAATGCACTCAAGCTTTTGCACCATTAATAGCTGGTGACGTTAACAAGCAGCCTCCTAAGTCTTTTACAGTAATCTAGGACCGTGACAGAATAAAAAAAAATTCCAACCTTCTGTATTCCTTTATAGGAATTCTCAATTCCTTTACAGGA